AGGAGAAAGTTATACAGTAAAGTTATACAAACAAGGCCAACTACAACATGTCCTTATATTCTAGGAAAGCGTAGCTATAATAATAAATAATTTATGAGCAAGTTGGTAGTTCAGAACATATACCCAAATAGATCTCAAAAATTTCATATTCCCAATGCTATCCTCCAGTCCTTAAAAGTGTCAGTTGAAGATAGATGCTTGTTTACAGTCTCTGAAATTTTGCACTCTGCAGATATCAAGAAAATCCACAAGGTTTGTTTGGAACCCTTCTGTCATTTACCATGTTCTAAATGATCAGTTTAAGATGATCAGTGTAAGCATCCATGAAAGAAAACTCCATTGTTTTGCAGAACAATGCCTTGTATACATGTTTCCAATGATATAATGTAGTAAAATTGCTGAAAAGAATCACTTTTCAGAGTGCGTCTTACTATTCTAAAACAATAAAGCACTTAAAACTAATAAAAGCAGTACAAAAATAAATATAAATGGATTCTCATTATTACCATATGCTGTGAAAGAGCTACAAGAGGGAGTAACTTATGCTTATTTTATTTTAAAAGTTGTACTTGATCCTTCTTCAGCATTTCCACTTTTTAAAAATTAATTATCCAACTACATAAGGAAGACTGTTAATATTCCTTAATTATGGCTTTCCTAAATTACACAGATTTTTTCACCATCAACTATACTGTAGAATGTTGACAGAATGGAGAGATGATTCTTCACCTCTGTCTTTATAAATCAAGCTTTTTTGAGTGTGTCCCTTTGGATTATTATTGACTTCTAGTGGCTGCCTGGACTAGTCCCTGTATTTTTTTTTTTTTTGGCAAGATTTTGGAAATGATTTCTTCTCCTTCCTAGGACTCCAAGCAATTGAGTGATCTGTGGTCACCAAGTTGGCTTTCATATCAAAAGTGGGACTAGAACTTACACACAAAATATACATTTTCAAAACAATCAAAGAAGGCTTCTAACTTTCGTTTACCAAGCAAGATGGAGTGGCTGTTGATTCAGAAATCTTCTGTATTTAGGATAAAATTAACTTTGTATTGGAGAGAGCAGGCTAATAACCCCTGGATTATTTCTGGATTCACGTTTTTTGTTGGAAGCTGTGGCCAGAAATATTTTGCCCAGTTCCAACTGATAAGCCAGTTGTTGCCTTTCCTGGAATAGGATTCAAAGAAGGCAGTCATTCATCCTCCTATAATCTCTTGATAGGATTATTGTAATTTGCTCTACTTGGCCCTGCCTTGAAGGCAACCCAGAAACTTCAGACAAAGTCTATCCTTTTCTCTTAGGCTGATTCCTGACAGATGAATATGATTTCTGAGCAAGACGATGAAAGGGAAGTAAATGAAAGGGACATAGAAAGACTTAGTTTTCTCTCCTTCCCTTTTTTTTTAACGTTAAAAGTATTCTAGGAAGCAAAGACAAAAATGAATGGAAGAACTGTGGCAAGAAGAGTTATCTAACACTGGTTTCACATTGGATGTCTTATATGTACGCAGTCAAATGAAAGTACTAGTATGAAAAGATAAATGCCAATCTTTTCAAATTGCTGAAATGAAGTATTAGTGGTATCAAATCTTCTGGCTATTGGAACTTGACAGAATCTGAATGATTTTCATCTGTGGTTGCTTTCTAAGGTTGTAGGTCTTCTGAAGTGGATTTTGCTTTTGTTTCCATGTTTGGGATTAATGGTTGGCATAATTTTTGCAACAGGAGAAAGGAGAAGATGACCGACAGTTCTGAAGGCACATTAAGAGTTGGAAAAGACTTTTTGCCCTGAATGTGTAGTGTTAGATTCCATTACCGTATCATTTACTTCTGGCACCAAAAAAAAAAAAAAAAAAAAATCCTGGTAATTTCCCTGGATAACATATGAAGGATTTTCCACCTTGGTAGCTTTCTGGAAAAGAAAAAAATATTACATTTCACATTGACACATTTCACTTCCAGCCCAGATATATTCCTTTAAATTATGTTTATTTTAGTCATTTTTTTTGATAAGACCCAATTTTAATTGAACAGCTAATAATTTTTACAGTGAAAAATGCATCTTTGCCAAGTAATCCAAGGAGTTAAAGGATTGGGAGAGATAAACCCTCTTCAGATGTTCTGAATACTTTCTGGCACAAGTGGAAAGATAAGTGCAAGGATTCTAATTCCATTCTCATTTACTTCCTGTTACATTCCTCATAAAGCATCTCAGCAAAGTGCTGCTTCTGTTGATTTGATGAATCAAAAAATTAAAAAAAATTGGAGTTGCAGAGAAATTTCCTATTTTCAAAATGTGGTTTGGGCATAAGGAGGAGGCTGACAACTTGGATGGAGTAAGCATAGCTAGCTTGTTTGGTGCTTTTACTTCTTACGTGTTACTATATAAATTCAGAACATATAAAAAGAGCTAAGCACAATTGCAATATGCACTTGTCTTTCCCTTTTTAGAATTAAAATTCACTTAGTTATTTTAGCCACTATAGAAATAATACAGTTTTTGCTCTGTTTTTTCAAGAGTATTGTCATCTGCAAAACTGATAGGCATTTCTTACATCTCCTTATCCAAGTCATTAATGAAAAAAAATGAAGAGTGTTGTGTCTAGGATTGAACCCTGTTACACCTAACTGTACCAAACTGATGATGCACTCTCCATGGGCACTTATTGAGGGTGATTTGAAACTCTGGGGCTTTAACTAGTAGTCATTAAATCCACTCCCACATTTAATAGTTTGCTAATCAGCACATCGTGGAATACTGTGACTCTTCTCTAGAATTATCTATGCTATCGTTAACATGTTTTGCATATTAAAAATTGCTGGTGATTTCTTCTGGAAATACACTGCAATCAGTATAATTCTACCTACATTAATCATTATAGCTTTGAAGGATGTTCTAGTTATGTTCCTTCCTATTGTTTATGCTATTTCCTCTCTGACATGTACACAATCAGATGATACAAAAAAGGACTGTTCAGCAGAATATATATGCACTCACACAAACACACACGTACATATTGGGTGTGTTCTTTTATAAACATAATCCAAACTGAATGTGTCAAGCCAGAGGCGTTTAATTATTTTAAGTGTTTTTAATACATCACACCCAGGAAATATCTACCCAGAAATAATAGCTTCTTTTTGGTTATGATTATACAACTACTTTCTACAATTAAGGAAAAAAGCATAATAGCCAAAATTATGATCAGAGGAATGAGAGTGACATGCATAAGATAATACAACATTTTATAATATATCATTTAAATGATAATTTGGCTAGCATGTGAGAGTATTTTATTACTTAAATGTGGAAATTTTTATATCTCTAGCTTTTCATAATTGCATGCACATTTTGCTTATGAGCTGAACAATGAGCCCAGTATTACCAAATGATAGCATACTGAAGGGCTGGGTCATCAGCAATAGTGTCAAGAAAGAATAATAAGGAGGTTGGGGAGAAGGTTTGTTAAACTAATAATTCTTAACCAATTTCCAAACACTGGTATAAGAAGACCTTCTGTTCAAGATGCAATTAATGAAAATATTGCTTTGAGGATGGTGTTCTGGTGAACTGCTTGAACAATGTATCAATTATTCCACCTCCAAAGTTATTTAAATAATGTAAACCAAAATATTAAATAAACCAAAAACTGTATTGGAGGAATTCATTTATTTTGTCTAAGCTTCCTCTGATTCTACTTTAAGCATTTGTTATGGCGTCAATCTGCCTAATTTATAACATCTGAGTTCAGAGGTCATTTCTAATTGTCACTCTGCCATGTATCTCTGCCATAAAAAAACTTAAGAACAGTAAAAGAGAATAGCTGCAATATTATTTTTGTTCAGTTGTGCTGATCCAAAACCTACAGCAAGATAGGTTGAAAAAGGATGATCTCTCATCCTTCAAACACAGGTTTCCATGATCCAAGTCAGGATAAGATAAACAAAGAATATCATAACCAAGCAAGGGTATTTATTGGTGTTATAAGTGGTTCCATGTACTGGTATTAAAAATTTAAGAGACAAAACCTTATTTCTGCTGTTTTTTAGACTGCCTCCTAAATACCCTAATTCCTTAGAGCAACAACACAACTTACTGCCAAGGCTGCAAATTATGGTTTTTGACTGGTCTGTTCCATTTCCTGGATACCAAAATCGTCATATTTTCTTGATATCCAAATCTTTACTATGAAGAACTCTGGTACTTTCTGTATGAAACTTCAAAAGAGCTGAATGTTCACCAGCAATGGCCATGAGCAATTATGATGCCATCACTCGGCTGTATCTCCGTTTACCTGCATTCACAAGTGGTCGTAATAATGTGCCTCCTTTTGACTAGAATAACTTCTGCCTCCTTATTCCTTTGAAACTCCTGCTTTGATTAATAAAGCTGATATTCTTTATACAGTATATTAAGCAACAGAAAAACCTCCTTTTAGTGAAGCTAACAAAATACATGTTTATATGTTCTATTTTACTCAGAGGGGGAAAGAAATGTGACTGATCCACCTCCAATGCAATTATAGGCATCTTTTTAATTGGAACATGGTTTCTTTTCATTTTGTGGTTGGTTTGTACAGCCCTATTTTAACATCCTAGACTAAACCCTTCTCCTCTTTCATTTCTCATTTGTCAAATTACAGATTGCTAACGTTTGGGATGAAGCCTCTCTTCATCTAAGATAATATATATATATATATATATATATATATTGCAAACTATACTTTAAATTACGTACCCATTCTTTCTCTTTCTCAGTGAAATGAAAATTTAGTGCATCTTCCATTACTCTTCCCTTAAAATCACCTTGCACAGATATTTTTTAAAAAACCCACTCAATATGTGCATCTTGTCTTTGTGCTTGTGGTTTGCTCTCTGCAGGGAGATACTGTGCCCACTGCCTTTAGGGGGATGGGGGAGTCTTCACTAGAAATCTCCTCTTCAATTCCAGAGTGAAATATTTCCAACCTTCTCCCTTCAGACTCCTTTTCTAACCTTTCCCCGCTTATTTTTTATAAGCCAATTTCCCTTTCTGGGACCTCGTGGCCCATCCCGTCTATTGTAATCCGTCTCTCCCACCCTCGCTGCCCACCTAATTCAGACGAATCCTGGTTCTCATCCAAAGTCCCATGTACTGCTTTCTCCACCCCGCTCGCCCCTCTGACAAAACTTTACTCGAAAGACCAGAGCAAAGCAGCCCTTCTACTACGTGGAGAGCGGAAGAGGTGGGAGGAGAGACATCAAGGGGGTCTTAACGATGACTGATGGACCCCAGACTCCGGCTTTCAGGTTAGATAAACAAGTTCTGCAGTTGGTCGATTTCCTTGTGCTCTTCTTTTAAAAAGTCCCGCCCCTCTCAATTTCTCTGCCCCCCCCCCTTTTTTTGGCAGCTGCACTAGTGACGGCGGCGGCGGCGGCAACACAGCAGCAGCAGTGTAAGAATAACGGAGCCCGACAGTTGCGTGCCTATGGGGTGAGTTTTGATGGTGGATTGGGCGGGTGAGTTGGGTGGAGGGGCAGAACTGACCATCGAGGGGTTTAGATGGGCGCCGCTGGCGACAGTCAGGAAAAGGGGTCGCTGTTGAGCGGGAGACGTGAAAGCCAATCCTCAGGATAGACTCTGGAAGCTTTCAAGTACATATCAGGTCCAGATCCGAAGCGGAGACTCCGCTCTGGTCAACTTTGAGACACCCTCAATCTTCCTCCGTTCCCAGGCTCGAGGGACGGAGGCTTCCGAGCAGCCCTCCCAGCTGTCCCTTCCGGATTGCGCTCCGGGTGCCCCGGGACCAGGTAGCCCAGGGAGCGGCGAGCCAGTGCAGGGTCACCGCGACTTCTCCCTGGGAAACGGACTCGTTGGCCGAGGAATGAGCGCAGCTCGAGGTAAACTTTTGGAAGTGGACGCTCTTAGGCTGGGGACTTGGAGGGGCCGTTAATGTGACTGAGCAGCAGGAGGTCCTGCTAAGTGATGGAGAGGCAAGAGGGGAAAGCATCTCGACTTCTGGACGATTGGATAAAAAAAAAAAAAAAGATAGAAGCCAGAAAAAGTCATTCGAGAAAGGGGTGGGGGGGGAGGAAAAGGAAAACAAAATCACAGCGCTACCGGTAGTACCGAAAGGAAGTGTGTGGGGAAACAAAAGATGACAAAGGCCACTATGGTATTAATTTTTTAAAAAACTCTCAGCTTTGCTGCAAACAATTCCTTGGCAGAGGCATTTTGGTAATTGAGGCTTTTGAGAAAAGTTTACGGTGACATGACGAAAGAGGACTAAACCTCAGTAAATAACATAAATAAACCTCACTCCATTCTTTCAAACATGCATCCCCAAATCCCGAAACTTTTTCTGGGAAAAGTTAAAAGGAAGGGGGAGAAAGGGGGAGGAAGGGTTCCCACCACTGAGCAAATTGGAAAGATGGGAAAGAGTGGGGGGAAACCATGTAAATATATTGCAACTTTTCTAACTTAGTACTTCCTACATACCTTGGAATGATGTCTTTTGGATTTCCCAACCAGAATGGCCAAAGGCTTTTAATTCTGGGAGTTATGATTCCAACTTATCTCAGGGTACTAGCCTGAAAGGCTAATGCCCTCTGGCCAGATATATCATACATAAAATCCAACACATAATTACTACCTAGAGATAACTGAATTGACCTTGGAATAAGATTTTATTCTGCTCTTGGTTATATCTGTATAAGGTAAAATATGTAGCTAAACCCAAGAAAGAGAGCTTTAAACAATCTTTCTCTGCACCACTTCAAATTGAGTAAAGCAGACAGGAAAGAATGAAGAGTTTGTGTAGAATTCCTTTAAATTTTCCATAAGTTCTACTCTCTCTGGAGAAACAAACTGGCCTCTTGTCTGCAGCACTTACTCATTTTATGGAATTTCAGTGACAGGATGTACTGAATTGGATCTGGAGTTTTATTATATAGTATTTCAGATAGATCCTATGAAATCAAAGAATCTGAGTAAGTTCAGAGTAAATTTTTATGGCATCATTCCAACATTGTATCATCTGTATATTTTCACATGTATTCAAACTTCTGCTGCCAAAATATCAAAATTTTTGAGATTGTTGGTTCATAACTCCTGGGCCTTACTCTTAGTGTCTTCATTCTTTTTGGTTCAACATCCCTTGTTACCTAAAAGTTTTTTTCTTTTCTCAGATTGTTTTCTTTCTTCCTTGGTGTCCTTGACCTTTTTTTCCAAAGCATGTCTAGTGAGACAACACACCTCTTAGTTTTTACAAAATGTTCCCTTAAAGCAGCTTTTCTGATAAACCTTTAGTGCAATTCTCTAGTTCTCAAATTCCACCTCAACTCATGCTATAGATTAATAAGTATAAACATATAGTATGCAACTGAAAGACTCTCATATTTCTTCCATGCTAATAATACTTCCACTTTTCTTTCTTTCCTCTGTTGTTTCCCAATAAAAATTTTAGACTGCAAGCTCTTTGGAAGAGAGACCTTAGTTTTCTACTCTATAAAGTACCCTACACTGGTGAAACTTATAACTTGCTGTTGTAAGAAAGAAAAGAGAAAAGATCAGAGGAACTGTAAATCAAGAAAACATGTTGATTCATAAAGTCCTAAAGTAGAAATTGCAGGTTCCAAAAAATTAATGTATTGTAAACAATCAAGTAAAGTGTGATAGGAAAAGAAATTGGCAGATAAAAGACTGAGCTATTTTTGATGTATTGATTTCTTCTGGTGGCTTTAATAGATTTGTTGCTCAGAAAATGTAGTTCTTCTTGAAGTGATAAAACCAGCAGGATTCAATTACTTTAGAGAGATGAAAACTGGTATAGCTTAATGCTTCTCCATAAAATAAAGTTTGAACAAGTAAAAGAAGCCCCTCCCCTAAACCAGAATAGGTAGCCTGTCCCTAATTTTCATTATTACATTTTATGATTTTGAAAAAAAAAGAACTCATAAATCTGGGTGAAAGAGAGTATAAAGACAACTGAGATTTGGTGGACACAGATAGAGAAGACAAAAATATTCATTTGGGATGATATTCAGGGAAGTGGTTGATGGCTGAAAGCTCACTGAAAAAAATAGCAGCAATGAAAGCAAACACATACTGTGATTATTGGAAAATGATTGCAAATAGATTGGGTAAGCCATCTAAGTGAGAATAAGTGCTTATATAGTTAGCTTATGGCAGTATTTCTCAACTTTGGCAACTTATTAAAATATGTGAATTTCAACTCCCAGAATTCCCCAGCTAGCCAATTCCACGCCTCTTAACACTGGCTTATGGTATTTATCATCATATTATACCATTTATCTTGGCTAATGTGGATTAACTCTTATACACTAAGAAAAAGATCAACTCTGAAGATTCCTACAGTAACATATGACACCCTGGGTTAAAGAGATCCCTTTGACATGCACCATCATATTAAAGATACTGTAACAGCAGTACCGTCTGCACTGTTTGTTTTTTATTTTGCTGGACAGTTCCCTTCTAAAGGGTATCTCTTTAAACAACTGGATAAGATTATGGAACAAGATTACTCTTAGTTGTTTACAAAGACAGATAAGCCTGCCTTTGATACACCACTTCGGAAGACTACATTAATTAGGAATATTGAAATAGTTCTCCATCAATGTCCATTTTGATCCTGCCCAACTCCCAGCAGAAGAAATGTACAAGCAGTTGGTATAGCTCCTTACAATCTCCATTATACCATCAGCTCAGTAAAAAATTGCAACAAGCTATGTGTGCCCATGTATGTCTTTATCTATGTCTACTCCATTTCTTTGTGAACTGAGTATATTTATTCCTAGAACATGAATATAGAAAGTGACAAGCTTTGGCAGAATGCTCAATTCTTTATGCCGATAAAGTCTCTTTTTAAGCCTGTGCGTGGCTGTATACGTCCATTGCTAAGTACTGTAAACAAATTGTTAACAAATGCTCTATTTCATGAACTTTTTTTGTCATGATCATTAAGGAAATCACTGCAGTCGTTAAGGAAGCACATGGTCATTGAGGGAATTTATTCCCCCCCCCCCATTGATTTTACTTGTCAGAAGCTGCTGGGAAAATCATAAATGGCGATCATGTATCCCTAGGACACTACAACCATCACAAATCCATGCTGATCGTCTGAATTTTGATCATGTGACTTCAGAAGCGCTGACACAGTCACAAGTGTAAGGACTGTTTGTAAGTCACTTTTTTCACCATCATAACTTCAAATGGTTGCTAAATGCGTGTTTATAAGTAGAGGATTACCTGTATATGCATGCGCATTAAATCTGTACGCAGATTTTAATTTTAAGTTTATCCTTCTGCTTCACCAGATTGCCTTTAAGTGAATTATTGTCTCTCTTTTTTTTAAAAAAAGGTGCTATTAAACATTAAATCCAACCAGTAGGAAGAGAAGTATGCATTAATTGGGGGGGCAGGGGTGAAGGGAAGATGGAATGGAGAGGAAACAAAAAGATTAACTGTACAGTCTTATTCACATCTTCTTCAAAATTTACTTCCAGTAAAAAGGCTACAGATTACATTCTTAATCTCTAGTTAAGAAATTTAAGAGGCAAAAAAGGGTAGGGCTAGTTTGGGATAGACATTTTGTGGTGAATAGTCTTTCACATTTGTTTATAGAATTAAATGCTGAGGAGATGATCAGAGAGAAGTGACTTCTTTAGCGTATTTATGTTTATAGCATAACTTTTCTGGGATTTAAAAAATAAATCCCAAAAATAAGATAGGAAGAAAGTTTGTGTGTAGTTGTGTGTGTGTGTGTATTCAGGAAGAGAATGAACTTAGATCTTCTTGTGAAAAAAATCCCAAACTGCCATGTTCATAACATGACTTTCTTACTGGAAATGTAAAAAAACAAAGCAAAACAAAAAAAGATCAGAGGGCTAATATCTGAAGAGATATCTTTGCTAAAATTAGAATTTTTTCAGAGATCTTAAGATGTGATTTTAAAACCATCAGATCTGTCTAAAGCAGGCATGTCAAACTCACAACATCATGTGATGTCGCACCACATATTGTGACTTTTTCCCCATTGCCAGCAATGGAGTGGGTGCGGTTTCAGCATGACGCATCCAGCCCGCAGGCAAGCAGTTTGACATGCCTGGTCTAAAGGGTAAATATAGTCCACCTTGCCTTAAGTTCTCAAAGCAATAAGATACAGATGTTACACTATGTCATGGCGCCATATACAGGCTTTTACTTTATTTTTGCACATTGTGTATCAACAATTTAAAGGTATCTCATATCTGTTTTGGATAATATATCCACTCTGCAATCCATTTATGGTTGCATGACAGTAGTTTTGAGTAGCTTAACATCATATTATATAAATTACCCTTCCAGTTTTTCTTCCTGAAATAAGTGAATGGAATAAAATAAAACTGGGCCATGACTTTTGCTCAACTATTTGGGAAGAAATGGTTGGTAACACTTACATCACAGGCTGAAAAAGACAATTGTCACAAATACTTGTAGAATGAATATGAAGAAACTTTGCTTTTATTTTTTTTTAAATGGCAATGGGTTTTAGAGAGAGAAGAAAACTGTCTAAAAGTTGCTCCAGACAGCGAGATGGACAATATAAAACAAACAAACAAATCCAGATTCAGTGTACATTCAGGGAGTATATACCTCAGGTTGGAAAAGAAAAGACAAAGGAGCCATAGGGCTCTCTAAATCCCCTGCTACCAAGCCATCTTGACCTATTCAAAAGGAAGATGTTATGCAGTGTTTTTTAGTGTCCGTTGATGGACCTAGATTCCTAGAAGATACCATGTTTCTGGCCCATAGTATCATCCCAAGTATTTTATTCTTATTTTTGCTTTAATCCACCTTACCCGATCCTGAGGATCTTCTGAATTCCCTGTGTGCTCAAATG